TGTGAAGCACCAAGGGAAATCCAGCCTTCCCCATCCTTGAGTCCTGCTCAGGTGGCTCAGAGAGCATCTCCACCATCCCCTGCTTCATGCATCTTCTCTAGTTAGGGGCACTTCTCCACTCAGCAACTTAGGGAAGAGGATCCAAACGCCACTCTGTAGACAATGCATGACCAAAAACAGGCTTCACCTGAGCCCAAAATGAGAACAATAACTCTCAACATAAAGACTTTTTTTTAAAAAAGATTTTATTTTTCCTTTTTCTCCCTAAAGCGCCCCAGTACATAGTTGTATATTTCCAGTTGTGGGTCCTTCTAGCTGTGGCATGCGGGACACCGCCCCAGCATGGCCTGTTGAGCAGTGCCCTGTCTGCACCCAGAACTCTAACCAGCGAAACCCCAGGCCGAGGAAGCGGAGTGCGAACTCAACCACTCGGCCATGGGGCCGGCCCCAACGTAAAGATTTTTTTATTAGGCCAAATCTGAAATTGTGCCAGTATCCTGCTTCCCTCTTTTTGGCATTAAAATATCTTTCCTTTCTCATGGTAATAATGATACCACAGAGAGTGATACTTTCAATAGAAAGGGCATTTTTGGATGCCTCAAACTTTGCAAAATAAAATCTTAACCCTATATTGTACCCTCCCCCATAATTTTTTTAAAGAAAATTTAATCTATGAAATAGAAAATAATGGAAACTAATGCTCTGGAGAGTTTCGCTTTCTCCATGGGTATTGCTAACATCATGAACCTGAGAGCCCATAGCAGCCTAGGCAGGGTTGCTGTTACAGTTGCTCTTTGTCAGTGATGGTTTACTTGCAAGGCGCAGAGTCAAAACTAGTTTAAGAACAAAAATGGAATTGATTGGAAGGAATTAATCAGAAGGGCCTCACAGTGTACTGGAATCAGGAACTGGGACGCCCAGGGGCACAGGTAGCTCTTTTCTTTATCTTTCGGGTTCTCCCATTGTGGCCTTGGGGATCTCTCGTCTCCGTTTTCCTATGCAGATCTGCTTCATCCTTTCTCTGTACTCTTCTCTATCTGTTTCACGTTCCCTGACCATTTCAGCCACAGCTTCATACAACCTCCCAGTTCAAGTTCTCAAAAGACACTGATTCATAGCTCCTCCATCCCAGGTCTGCATTTCCAGGGGTAAGAATATGATTGGTTCAGCCAAGATCAGGTGGCTACTGATTGGTCCAATCAACTGAGACTGGGCTGGGAGTGGGTTATCATACACTTTGTTGCTCAAACCAGTATACACTTGAGAGTGAAAAGGGGTTAGTCTTGCTAATTTCACCAGGACTGCAGGTGCAAAGCAGGACCATCCCAGGGAAGCTGTGATGTACACTCACCCTTGATATGGGACATGGGGCTTTGGGGGCTTATCCATGTGCGCAGAGAGGAATTGCTCAGAGAAGCGGGACATTGTTTAGGGACCAGGAACTCTTTCAAAGATGGCTAAGTGTCAAGTCGAATAATAAAAGTAGAACTTCTCCACGTATTCAGTATTACTGGAGAAGCTTACAGGAGGCATGATCCCATCACGAGGTTGCCTGTAAAAAGAGATAACTTGGTACTCAGCTGCTTTTGGATGACGTTAGCTCAGTTGAGAGAGCAGAGAAAGACTTCAGGCTCCCATGCCTCAGATTGTGTGCAGGGGTCAGGGGAGAGACTCCTTTCGAGGCCGGCATTTGTCCCACCTTCTCCTCCTTGTCCCTGAGTGCACGAAGACCAGAGAACATGGGTGAGTGACTCAGCTCAGGGCATCATCCCATTGCTCTTCCTCATCCCTCCCTTAGCTCCCCCCCGACCCACCCTTCAATGTCAGCAGCTATTCCCCCAAACCCTTCTGCCCTGCGCTGTCACCCTGACACACCTCTTAGCTCTTCTTATCCAACGGTTACATGTATATTATCCTTGACCCCAAAATGCACCTTAAATGCATTATGAGTTCAAGAACCACCTTCAGCACTTCTAATCCCCAGAGCCTAGCACTGCTGAGTACTGAGTCTCTGTTCCAAAGGCTTTTTGACTTTTTTTTTCCATAGATCAAATCACAGGGTATCTGATATTAGTATCAGCAATTTCCATTGTCTTTTCTCTGCACTAAATGATGTCTCAGCAGCAAGCTGGCATCTGAGGGGAGGGTACCTTGTGAGGAGATTGTTAATATGAAATGATGGTTTGCAGTGAGAAAGCGAGTGACATAAAAACAAGAGGAGCTTATATTTAGAACTGAGTAGCTGTTATAGGAAGTTTAAAAACAAGATTTAGCCCTTACATCTTTATTTTTATATATACTACCACCACGGTGACCCTGAACAAGAAATAGAAATTTGATTTTGATTTTCTTCAAGGATTACTGCCTTTTGCAATGGAAAATGACAACTCATCAAATGGGTCATGTCTGCTGTAGGTTGCAAAGATGACCAAACAGCAGAGGTTTTAAATGTAGCCATGTTACTTTGAGTCATATTATTTCTCGGCTGTTTTGCTAAACTAAATGCGTCCTTTTTTTAAGTCAAGGATGAGGACATCTTAGCTTGATATTCTGCTGAACAGAGTAACCAGATTGCTACTTCCTTGAAGACTGTATGAATTTATGTAAATCTTGGTGAGCTGGGAAGCGATTTAGGGTTGATTTTTCTAGTGAAATAATATTCTTAAAGGGTGCCAATCTCTGTAACAGAAGCAGACTTTATGAAAAATAAATCTAGGGATAAACCACTTGGAGAGCTTGCACAGCAAAAGTAACCCGAAGAGAGAATTTAACTGTTAATGGGTGTCCTTTCTGGCCTTGATATTGGCATGTAATCTGAGCTGAGAGATTCCTGTGGAACACCCAGATTAGACACCTCCCCAATGCCACATCTGGCACTTAAGGGGGTACAGGGGACTATGTGCTGACTTTATTCCTCTTACCCCCTATGGAAAGGTCCTGAGAGGCAGAGCAAGGTGCAGTGTCTGGATAATGCAATAGTACTGCTGTCAAGAGGGATGTCCTTGTACTTCTAGCAAGAAAGAGAGGAAAGAAGCTAGTCATCCCACCCTCAAAGGCTCCCCCTAGAGGCTCAGGCACAGCTGGGGCATCATGTCTGAAAGAGCTCTGTAGCCGAAGCGGAGGCGGGGCTGGCTACATCATTTCCAGTGGACCTTGTTCCAAAAATGGTTAAGAATTTCAAGGCAGCCGTAGCCGAGCATGAAACTGAGCACGGAATCCTTTTAAGGGTGGGGCTGCACGGGCTGGACGCCCAGGAAGCTGCTCCTGCTTTGAGAGTTCAGTGCCTGGTGCTTCAAGATGCTCTGGCATCCTTAGGAAGACTTAAAGGAAATTAAGGAATGTAAACAAACCAAAAAAGTGGCTCCCAGGGACTGCATTTATCCCACGACCTGCCCGTCGGCACCTTTGGCATCTTAGAGAAAATTCACCTGCCTGATTAATTCAGCTCAGTGTGCCTTCTGGAAGGTGCCTGGAATCACGTCATGCAAGGCCGGGGGCAGACAGAGGGAGAGGGGAAAGCTGAGATAATGCATTCATTCAGCCTAATCCCCCCAGTTTCGCTGACTCCCTTTCTCTGACCTTCCACAGTATAATCTATCTTCATACGATAGCTCAAGTGATCTTCTAAAAAATGCTTCTGATCCTGCCCCCTCCCTCCTTTCCCTGCCTAAAATACTTCCATGGCCTTCTGGTGCCTTAGAGCCAAATTGAGAATTCTCACCCTGACTCCCAGGCTGTGTGTGAGCTGGTCTTTGCCTGACTCCAGCCCCACGCAGCCTCCAGTGTTAGTCACTTCCTTCGACTTCAGGGACTTTGCACATGCTGTCCCCTCCACCTGGAATGCCTTTCTCTCTCTTCATCCCTACCCTCTGGTCGCTCCCTCCTCCCAGCTACCCTCTTCCTGAAGATCCCAGATTACGTGCTTTTCCAACTGTCCACCCGTGTACACCCCCTCGCCAATCTGGGCTACACACGCTCATTGCACTTTTAATCGGTCTTCAGTGTCTGTCCCCTGACTAGACTGTAAGCACCAGGAGGGCAGGATCACGTCTGTTTTGTGCATCGTTCTATCCCCAGGACCTAGCTTAGGTCCTAGAACATAGTAGATGCTCAATAGGTGTCTGTTGAAAGGATGAATGGATGTACCACACGGTTCATAATTATACACGATCTTGTATTACTTGCTGTCCTTCACTAATTTCACCAATTAGTTCTGCAACTCTTTGACATCAGCAACATGTTGTCTATTTTTCCAAATCTCCCACAATGCTCAACCAGTAGTCTATGTTCATGGAATGGTATTGACTAATAGATGATGAGCATTTACATATCCAATCCCCTGCTATTACAGTATAGATAACTAAGAGAGAAACCCAATGAGGTGGTGTGCTTGTGTGGGTAAGTTGTTATCGATACTTGCTGCTGATTGGCAAAGGAAGTAATGACCAAACCAGACATAATCTGACCCATGGGATTTCTGCCTCAAAAGAAAAAATTCAACTGTGATATAAATATCTCCCTCACAATTTTAGTTTACTGAATTTGGAGACAGTCTTGATAAAGCCTTTAAAGAACTGGATGTGTTTAGTGTACTCTGGCGTGAGTGCAGTGTCCACTTAGGGATATATAAATGCGCGCAGTTCCATCTGTTGCCATAACTGCTGTTAGAATTTGTCTAGCTCAAGGAATTGATTTGCCATCCTTCTTTCTTATAATGTGGCTTGTCCTCAACTCCTCGCGTGAAATCGCATTTGTACAGTAGATGTCCAGTGATAAAAATCTCAGTGGAATGCTCAGGGACAACATATCTTTTTCAATAACTTTCACAACCGATCCTGTGACCCACTGGGTCTTTAGTTCTCTACATCCAGTCCTTCTGATGGACTTCCTTCCCTGCCATATTGTTTTTCCAGATTGGCACACCTTGATGGCATTGAAAATATTTTTAGCATCATTAATAATAGTCTGTTTTCCCACTTTCTTTCAAATGCTTTTTGCAGACAAGAAGCCCCAAACTGTCTCACAGTCCCCAACCTCCCAATTTGGGCGACACGGTCGAGCATTTATCAGAGGCGTCTGTTGATTCCTTGGAAGCCATGTCTGAGGGAGACGCTCCAAGTCCTTTTTCCAGAGGCAGCCGGACTCGAGCCAGCCTTCCGGTGGTGAGGTCGACCAACCAGACGAAAGAAAGATCTCTAGGTAAGCTTCAGAAGGTAGTTTCCGATGCCCCTTTATTACCTCGTGTGTGTTTTTATAGTTGTTCTGTTAATTCGATCTTGATTTGTAATTAATGCAAGTACTCGGAAACTTCATTGATGTAACATCAAGCAGTGAGGATGCAGCTGGTCCAAGCTGTCTTAGGGGCTGGGCACGTTCAGAACTGGCAGGGGTGAGCCGCTCCAGCAAAAGGCTAGTAGTGCTTGCCTATGTTCCTGATATAGGGAATAATGAGGGACAGACCGCAAGAATGAGCCTCGTTTCTCAGGAACCTCCTCTGAAGTCCCAGAAGCCTGAGCAGTTGGGGTTTGAGCCCTATGATGTCGGTTCGCACCAGCCCCATGTCTGACAGTCTCGGGGAAGGATATGAATGGCTCCAGAAAAAAACAGGTGCAACGTGGCCAACACCCCCATGACAGGCAATGAAAGCCACAAACACGGGGCTGTTCTCCCCACCACACAAAAGGATGGAGGGGCTTGGCCCCTGTTAACATAGATTTTCCTTCTAACGAGCTTTTAAGAAAAGCAGGAGGATTCTTTCTGCCTTACCAGTTACCATTTGCTTTCTCATATGGGATATTCACTTTCTACCCTGCTCTGCTTTTTCTTTTTCTGGCCCTTTAATAAAATGTACAGGTCATGAGGGTTTAGACCTCTCTGCCCACTGGGCTGGTGCTTCATACCCTTAACCTGCCATCTCAAGGTTCCAACTCGGTACCTGTGTTTGCAGACAATTCAGGTTAGGGGCAGGAGAGGACAGGAACAGGGTCAACCCACAAAAGGCTTCAGGGTCTGGCCCCTGCAGAAGATGGCTCAGTTCTGCCTCCTAAAATGTAGCAGGTGCTTGCTTGAAGAAGAAAAGAGAAGAAAGATGTGGGGTGGAATCCTGATTTTGTTTCCTCAGAGCAGACTGGGTTCAGACATTGACCTAGCTGTCCTTAAAAAAACCCTATTATCATTTTCATGATCAATATTAATTTTTAACATGAAATGTGGTATACTTCGTCTTAGCTTAGTCCTCCAGGGTCCCTCATTTTACCAATAAAAGAAAAAAACACAGAAAAATAAGCTTTTTTTCCTTTTTTTTAAGGTCAATAGTTAATTAAATGGCAGAAGTGGGAATCTAGGCCTCCAGTTCCTATTGGCCCTGTTTTCAAATGAAGGCACAGGGACGCGTGGGGACGTGTACACCCACGGAGCATACTGGGCCAGTGTATAGGGAGCAGTGTCAAGATGACAGCTTCCCCACTATCCACAGCAGGCTGGGGCTTTCCATCTGGATTACCGAGTCCTGTGCTCTCTTAGCCCCATTCTGGCTTGAGGCATGAGTGCAGGAGCCAGCCAAGGAGTGGAATTTCTCCTTTGTGCTCTGCAGGAAATGAGTGAGGTTCAGGTCTCCGTAAAGATAGCCTGTGCTTTGAGAAAGAAAATGAAGATAAGAATAAACGCCTCTGCGCCTTCCCCCCTACCTGGGGACTATTGAGCCTGCTGGAGAATGGACCCTTTGTCTTGCAGGCAGGAATTTCCCCTGCAGCCAAGCGCGGTTGGCAGTGCACCGAGATACTGGCAGCGTTCAGGAAGCGAGCTCTGGGCACAGAGGCGGCAGCATCCGGTGGCATTCTTGCCCTAGGAATTGCTGAGGGTGGCTAGTGTTCTCTCAGGCGGTGGCTGCACTTCTGCAAAACGCTCGGTTTCACTCTGAGCACACCTTGCTGTGAAGTTCTGGCGAGTGCTGAGTCACAGCAGATTAAAAAATGCATCCGAGGTGCTTCTTCTTCCAGCTCCATGAGGGGCTTTTCGGTCTGTGATTTTCACAACTCCTGGATGGAAACAAAGGAACACTGGGAGAGGAAAGGAGAGAAACCAGAAGTTTGCCCAAGCGCGGGGAGCCCTGGTTCCAGAAAATCAGGCTGGCACTGGGCGCTGCCCTTGACCGCCTCCTTGTGGCCGATTTGGGAATGTCTGCCCGGTCGCACCAGGCCTTGGGGCGTGATGCAGTTAAGCTGCGATGGGAAATAAACAGGAAAGTGCGAGTCAGGGGGAATCTAAACACAATGTCCCTGCCAGAGCCTTGCTCAGTGTTCGGGAAAATCCCCGTATGCCTGTCTTTATTTCACACGCAGACCCGGGCTCCTGGGAAGAGCAGTGTCCCCAGAGAACCTGGGTCAGGAGCAGCCCTTGGTGGCAGGCAGAGAAGCGGAGCTCTGACTCCAGGGCTCAGAGGCTGCCAGGTTGGAGCCTGAGCTGTGACCTCCTGCAAATCCACTATTGGTGCCATCTGGAAGCTCCGGTTTTCTTTTAGGATCTGTACGTTGTCATTTTATCTTAATCCTCAGAATTTTAAGATCTCCTCTGAAACCTTGTTGATCCTGTCTTTATTTAAAATTTTGCTAGTTTGTTCATCGTGGATTTTGCATTTTAAAAAATATTATATTGAAATATTATTTAATCTTGATTACTGAGTTTTGCGGGGGGGGGCCCTTAAATTTTACACCCGAGGAGAATGCCTCACTCCCCTGACCCCAGTGGCTGCCCTGCGTGTCACCCCGGGAATGTCACATACCATCGGTGTGGCCTGAAGCCACAGAGCCCGGAATGAGGCCGGAGTGGGAAAGGTCAGAGCCCCAGCTACTCTTCTGCACATGCGCACTCTGTCCCTCAGGCCTCTCCCAGTTCGGGCAGGGCTGAGGGGGAGACCGGGGCGCCCTGAGGGCGGAGCGCCCGCTGGACAGAATCCTCAATCCTCTCCTGCTCCCTGGAGGGGATGAAACTTCCCCTCGCTTCAGGCAGGCTGTGCTTGGAGATAAACCTGCCTGCTTAATCACTTTTCCACTTGACTAATTCCTCCTTTCTATTAGTTTTGCGTATTTGGGGGATGGGAGGAGCGCAGGGAGGCTGGGCATGGTGCATTTCGCAGAGGCTGTTAGAAGACACGGAGGACAGAGAAGGGAGGGCAGGAAGCCATCTTTTAGCACAGAGAAGCTAGCCATCGCTGGTGCCTGTGTAATATTCTCCCTTAGATGCTGTCCTGCGTGCGGGATGTAAGCTTCTTATTTGGGAGAGGCATTCTGAGACTGCAGGCAGGACCAAGTGACCGCAGAGCACAGCAGTCCTTTGTGATGTTGGGGGCCAACTAGCCCTTCTTGGAGGTTTACAAAGCAGAAAGGTAAAGAAAGGAGTTTGCTGGGCGGCTCTGATTTATAACATGACCAGGTCCCAAGGATTGCCCACCTCTGAATCTTCACTTCTGCAGAGCGATGGGCTCCCTGCCGGCTCCACCCTCCCGGAGCCCGCACGAAATTCTTCTCAGCGGAATTTATGCCGTTGCTCCTTCTCCGTCTCAGTGCAAATGGAGGCCATTGGGAGAAAGGAAATCTACAAAATAAAGTAAAAGCCGCTTTGCAGCAGAGTTTGGCTTTAGAAATAATTTCTGTGAAAAATTGCCCCACTAGGGCCAGCCCGGTGGCCGAGTTGTTAAGTTCTCACGCTCCACTTCCGCGGCCCAGGGTTTCGCTGGTTCAAATCCTGGGCCAGGACGTGGCACCTCTCATCAGGCCACACTGAGGCCACATCCCACGTGCTACAACTAGAAGGACCCACAACTAAAAATATACAACTATGTACCCTGGGGTATTTGGGAAGAAAAAGGAAGAATAAAAATCTTGAAAAAAAAATTGTCCCACTGATGTTAGGTCTGGGTCTTCATGATGGAGTCTTTTGCTTTTCATCATCGCTGTCTTATAAATGCTTGTCTGGAATGCGAATGTGGCCAGGGGCTGGTGTCTTGCTGCTGCGCGGCCAGCCTTGGGGAGAGGGTAGCCACAAGCTGTTCCCACCCTTCCGTGTGCCCTCAGGAATTTAAAAATAAAACTTATGTGAAAACAAGACCAGGGGCAGCAGCTTCCTTCTGGAGGCAGCCAGATGCCTTTGTTGACCGTGTTCTGAATGGTTGGCTTTAGAAGGGAGACCTCCCTTACCAGCCCAGCTGCCAGAGGTGCTGCCATTTCCGTAACAAATTTCCTCTTAAGTGTTCCCACTCAATAAGCAAGAATGATTTTAAATGGCTCAAGAGGATTTTAGGCTAATTGAGGGAGAACTTCCCAATGCATGTGAATTGATAAGTATCTATGTGGCTGTTCTTTTATTCCAAGGTGGTAACAATGATGGTGATCGTTCTGTAACAGGGATTTAAGGAAAGAAGGTTCATGGTTTCCAGAATCTTCCCTACGCATAAGAGTGGGTAGAAGGTTAGGGCAAAGGATTGAAGAAACCTCCATCCACCGAGTGGAAAGCCAAGAAGGTTTAGAGGCAAAGACTGGAAGACTCATATTAGATTGTCTGATTGTGGAGTAAAACCTTTCAGTGCTGCAGCTGGAGATATGGGGTTAAGTAACACCATTGAATAGTTAAGAAAGAAATACATTTCAGAAAAATGAAAAGCAGTATTGCTCTATAGAATAAGTGAAACATTTATGAAATCTGTTTTCCTAAGTACTAGTAGCCATTAAAACGTAATGTAAAAATTTACAGGAGAGAGTCTCGTAGTAGATCAATAGGTTGGGGCACATTCCTGACCTTTTTAGGGCTGTCAAAGAAAAGGTCAGAGTATTTTCTCTAGCACAGGCACCAAGTGGATGGAGTGGGTGCATATGGCAGCTGACAGGCATTGTCCACTCCAACCTCCTCCTAGGGTGCCTACACTTACTTCAGAGACTGGAAAGCAGACTCATTCTGGAATATCAAATGTGCTGGGTTCCACAAGGTAGGAACCAAAGCATTTGCGGAGGCTCCTGGGTTTTCTTTAGCATCATTTGCCAAGGTCTCAGGGCATCGTCTCTGCCTTGATAGCATCGAGAGTCGGGGTCTAAGGCATCCATCTTTCTAGTTCTGAGGGCACGGGTGTGCCCTGGCTCTGCGAGAGTACCTACCAGCAGCTTCCTGCTCCAGGCAGCCTGGGTCTGGAGTCACAGCTGGCCAGAGTG